TTTTTTTTCGTGTACGACTTATATAGGTGTCGTCGTCGCGTTTGGGATTGTATAATTTTGTCTACGGAGTGTACACTCTGTCTAACGGCTATTAGAGGCGAGCTTGGAACAGACTGTACCGACGGATCTTCAAGATTTAATGGACTTATTATATTTAAGCGCGGGGCATACATTCCCGGTATAAGCCTGACGATTTATTCGGTGTGTTTCACGCGACACTGTATATAGTTACAGGGGGAGAGAGACAAATCGAACGCGGGAACGTCGTGTACACGTGGACGCGAGTCACTGGTAAATTGGCGCGAAAAAATGTCTTAACGCTCGGCGATGGTTCTTCCTTGGGGTCGGTTAATTTGTAAAATGGATATTTTTAGTCATTTTTACGGGAAGTCTGTTGTAAATAATGTGGTAAAAATATATTCGTTGGCAATGGGAATTATTCTTTCGTTGATACCCAAGGATTATTGTAAGATGTAGGTTAGAATATTCTTCCTGTACGATGTGAAGCAAGATGGCGGCTGTGCAAGGATCGCCGATAAAAATCCACTTTTACAAAGGATTTTTTCGGTCTCCATTCCCGCCATTTTGCTTTCACCGAGAGAGCAAGTCTGCTTCTTGAAAAATTTCGCGTGTTCCGTCGAACGACACGCAATCCACGTACAACAAAGCGCGTTTCTCTGCACGTTTGGCGAGCCACAAGTTGTTGCGTGTGGCCGGGGACCAAGATCGATCCTTGATCTAGATTAGATTCGAAACACGGACGCGGAAAAATTAAAATGTGGAGAAAATGCGCTTGGATTACCTGCAACGCTAATTTTACACAAATTACCGTTAAAATTTGTTATCGAATGATTTCAAGATGGCGGACAGGAAATTTAGGGGCAACTCTGTCGCTGTATAATATCAGAGTTCACAAAGTGTGGAAGAGACGGGGAGGCAATCGTTGTCGGAATTAAAATGGCAGAGAAAGATGGCGGATTCGAATGGCCATTACGGGTCTCGGCGAAAGAAGAAATTTCATATCGAAACAATGTCAAACGGTCGCAGGAGCCGTTTGCGCAACTAAACTTCAATTCACGCTGACAGTGCGTGTCACGAGAGGCGAGCTACAAGCGCCGCCATGAGAGCGTAATTTACGAACTTTTTTACGGCTCTCTTTCCACATCTTCTAAAGCGACTTTCTAACTCGTCCGAGAGAGACACCGCGTCGAGCCATTCGTTACGGAACAATTGTGCGAATTAAGTGCTCGCCTCGAATGATTCTTTGATAAATAAAACAAAAAAAGGGGGGAGGGGAGAAGACGAATTAACGGAGGAAAATCACACGCTTAGAATTCACGATTATTTCAAGAGATTCGAATGTTCGTCTCATTGTTTCGAGTCTTACTCTATTTTTGTAGATAAAAATTTGTTCGTGAAAAATTGAAGACTGATATGGATTAAAATATATTAATACGAAGATACGTTACGACACGCCGCGTTTCCCACGGCGAAACAAGGGAACCGTTTGAGAAACGCGAACGGATAACCTCAAAATGTACAATTATTGTGTTTCCTGGAACCCCGACAATCAACATCGTATTCAAGAAGAAAAAATGCCGCCACAAAAGAACACAAAAGGGTCAGTAGTCGAACACGGCATCAATTCACACCAAACAGCAACTTCGCTTAACCGAGGGCGAAGTGGGGAAGGGGGGAGGACGCAAAGAAAAAGGAAATGAAAAGAGGAGAAAAGGAATCCAACGGCGTGGGCTCGTTTCAAGTGACAAATAATCATTTGTGAGTACGTGAACGTGGCTGGGACGTGTTTAATCCGACCACTTTCTATGTAACGTGTTTTGTTTCAATTTGAAATTCTTTCCGTGCTAGATTATAATCATATCACACGATTTCGAAATAATAATTCAGGTATCATTATGCTACACGAATCTCGTTGAACTTCCAGGTTCGTTTTTCTTTAGAAAGAGGCTCGCTTTATATTCTTCAAAATTGTAATATTTGTAAATAATGTTTACCCAACGCTATACAACAAGTTTATTGATTTACCAATGAGTTCAATGTTCACTAAAAAATATTTTTTTAAAAACAGTATTACGTAAAATCATTTAATACTAGAACTACCAGATGGGTCAAAATGATTTATTTCTGATTTCTTTTTTCCACAATTACTAAGAAGGTACGGATACTTTTACGAAAAATTATTAACGAAACTAATTCAGTAATAGCAAAACTAAAGCACAACTCAATTGAAGTATTAATAAACACACACGTATGGTTTTTATACAAAAATTGGTAAAAGTCAGTTTAAGTGATTTAAAAAAAACGTAAATGTTGCAAAGATTAATATCCCCATTGAGTTCGAAGTGAAATTTGTCTGGCTTTGATTTTGCTCGAGCCCGTAAGATATTTCCTGCGGTGGGCATATGGCGAGGGGTAGAGTTCCCAGAAAGTTCCCACGGTCAATAGCTTTCATGGCGGTGATGCTTGAAAGTGCTCGAGGGGTCCTCCCTCCCTGCCGCTCGTTATTCGCAACATTTTCGAAAAACGTCCTTCTGGGAAGAGCCCGCCAGGAAAACCGATAAATCTTCCGCCCGAACGTTGAGCAGACACACCGTTACGCGACGTCCACAGAAAAATTACAACGACGGGATTGATTAGAAATTTCTTGGCAGACCTGGGAATCGATAAGTACGGTTTCCGTAGATCCTAATCCTCGTTGAAAATGGGTTCCTTAATTACCTTCTACCTTCTCTTCCTTCCCCTCCCACGCCGTCCCGGGGCTATTGATTACCTGCAGCTATTTCGGCTGGGATTATTTCAGACAAAATTCCCAAGCAAAATATAACGGGTCAATTGTAAAGGGATTTATTTTACTTCTGTTACCTACGAAATCCCCTGTACTGTTACTCGACCCAAAACGGTTATAACTCCCTCCGAAAATTCCAATTTTCCCCAACTCTTATTTTTACCAACGTTTATCGATGCACAACTATTAATACACCCGACACCGCGGCCTCCGTTGGAATCAATCTCTTATTTGTCAAAGGTCGCCATTTTGAAAATAATAGCCCCATAAGAAACGCGATACCTCCTTTCGACATGAGAGCACAACCGTAATAATTAATTCGAGACGGCGTTAATTACCGCGGGGGCAGGGAGACGAAATTGTCGACGGAGGCGGTAAACCGTGCAATTTCGATCCGCCGTGCGACCGGAAATCGATAGCTATTTATTTGGACCGGACTCGTCGGACCGAAAACGAAAACAATCCCGGGGATATTAAATAATTCCCCATCCGTATTAGTTCGCAGGAGGAAGGTACATTTCCCCGGGAATGAATCCTCGACGAACCAAAAATTCGTTTGGATATCGAAGAACCTCGATTAAACGAGGAGCTGGCCTGCCATTTTCCGTAATTCATGGATAAACCTTCGACTACGAAAACGCGAGAGCTCCGTCCGCATCGGCTGGGAAAACAATGGGTCGACGGAAGCGTATTACGTCGAGGCCAAGATTTCCCCGGTAAACGCACCGCTCTTCCCGCCGAAAGTTGAGTACGGTACGTGTGGCACCCATATTCCGCTCGCGATGAATCACTCATTCAGTTCGATTCGTCGCACGGCCGCCCGTGCACGGTCGACCGATTGTTTGTTTTCGAGTGTACGCTGGCTCGCGGCGAATATGATCGGCCACGGGAAACGGCTCGTACGCGGTCGTCGAGCCAACGGAGCGCGGCAAAACCGTGGGAATCCCCATAACGACCGTCCCGCGGCCGAAAACAGGAACCGTACCCCGAGGACCACCGGTAACGCGCAGGGTCGACGACGATCACCGAAAATAAGGAACGAGGGAAAACAATCGTTCGGCTAATCTGTCAGCCGTATCGGTGCGGATGACACCGAAGCCTCGGTAAACAAACAAACCGACGTAAGCGTAGTAGATGCGCCTCTGTCCGGTTGAACCGCGTACGAATGTGGGAAAAAAAAGAGGAAAAAACAGGCACACACACACGCGAGAGAGAAAAAAAGATTAGCATCGTGAGCGGCTACCTACCCCCCCACGCGTATGATACCTTGACACTCGTCGCGAGCTCTGTTTCGGGTACACGGCGGGCCGGCAAAAGCGGGCGGAATGATTTTTTTCCAGGGGATCCTACGGCGAGACTCGAAGAAATCCCGTCCGATGAAACACGTAACGTCACTTACCGTGTGTTCGACGATCCTTGGAGTACGTCGTCCTCGCGGCGAAACACCACTCTCACACATATATTTACGATAGGAGTCGCGCGGATTTTTGGCAGCGACCATGCATAAACGGACACCGACACAAGGCCCCCTTTACGGAACTGAAGTAACGTTGACACGGCAGGTTCGTGAACAAAGACCACGCACGATTTCAAATCCCTACGCGCGGATTGGCCGACGGCGGTCATGTGACCCGTACGGCGGCGCGGGATTGGCCGGCCGCGGCACGACTCGCGAGGACACTTTAAAACGATGCACTTATGCACATGGCCGACAAAGGGATGCTCGCCGCGGTATTTTTCTTCGTTACTTTAAATACACGGGCACCGTTTCGAGGAGGATAATAATTGTCCGTGGCCTGATCGTTCGGCGAACGCTTGGTGCCGCGTGTATGGGGCTTGATACGCGGCGCACGATTGACAGAAACACTCCCGTGTTTTTCTCCCTAACCTTCCCCACTCCAAAATGGCCGAACCCAAATCGCGTCCCGAGAAAATCTCTTCCAGCGACGCGAAACGGATTTGTTTTGTGTTGGGACGGGCTCAGAAAAATAGCGGCGATTTTTTGCGATCGTTCCGCGCGGAAATGTCTTGTAACTTAATTTTGGAAACGCGGGAATTGGTTACGTTAGAGAATCTTTGCCCGTCGGGCGAGTCCATCGTCTCGTTGGAGAGGGGAGTACGGCAGAGCCATTTAAGAATGAACCACTACGGTAATGGCGGGAATGCACACACACGCGTAAACAGATTTCTCGAGTTTGGCGCGATAAAATGTGTACCCGACACTCGTACCCGTTGGATACTGTTTTTTCGAAGGAAATTGGTCCGAGACGTTGAGAGACGGCTAATTCTTCGCAGTAATTCACATGGAACGTGAACTTTCGATACCACCGAGGTCAATAGACGTGTTCTTATATCTACTTCCTTTCCATTATATTTCCTGAACTCCGAATAAAAATATATAATTATCGCAGATATAGTCCTGCGGTGGTTTCCATAAAATATATAAGATTTAAGAAAAAAACAATTACATATCACCATACTTGTGTATAAACGTTTTACAATGTTCTCACGATTTAGCATGGCACTTGAATGCATACCACTAAAATACGTTGCGTTTGACTTGTTGGAACACTAATCTCAATTTGTTTTCCTTTTTGTACGTTTGAGAATCTCAGTATTTAAGAGATCATAAGATAGTTGTTACTGTAACTGTTAAATGCAATTTTCCTGGTATCTTTTCCGAATTTTATTCGAATGGTCCCATCGACGAGTAACTGGTAATGATTATTTTTTGTATCCGTTAGTGCCGTTCATTTACTGTTTCTCGTAGTCACGATTGCACATTCCCATCTTTTTCGCAACAGCTTTTCGAGACTGCATATTTTTAACAATTATAAACTCTGAAGCTTTTACAACATTGTTAAATTCTATCTGGCATAATCAGTCTGTGATGTTTTAACACTTTTACATTGTATTCCCTCCATCTACTCTTAATGTTTCTATCGCCTTTTATCTTAGCTTTGGTTCGTTAAATATAATAATGAAGAGTTTATAGACACTTCGTTATTTGTTTAAACGTTGGCTACCGCAGGTATTATCTTCATGTATATTTCAATACCCTTCAAGAATACGTCTTTGTTTAAATATTCGTTGTGATCGTGGAGTAAAATTTTTGTATTGTTCATGGGTGAAAAACCAATGGCAGGTATTCCGACCTATATAACAGACAAACGGAAATCATCAATTCTGAATTCTGACACAAAAATAATATGTTATACTAATCTTGTTTTAATTTTTATCTATATTTTATAAATATAAAATGTACCTCTCGCACGTAGCGACTATCTGTTCCACCTGGGAAGATTCCCATCTGCAAATTTATTTTCAATTCGTCGCAGACATTTTTGAAAGCAAGCCAATAAGGATTGCTATTATCTAACTTTGTGCTTTCGATTTTGGGATTCTTTTGTTCAAACGAGTATGTGACGTCTGAACCAGCTTCATTGCACCATTTTTTGATCATATTTTCAAATTCATCATGATCGACAGAAGGATCCAGACGAATATCGAAGATCGCAGTCAACGACGTTGGTACCACATTTGTCTGAATACCACCCTAAACAAAGTTATTTAACAATATTAACGATTACATATGTACAACTTTTTAATCATATCATGTAGTTAAATTTGTGCTTTAAAGATATCATTGTATTTAAATTGCTTTAATAAATATCTGTGAAATTATCAATATACTTACAGCTAAGCATTATTTTCCTAATTGCACAGACATATAAGAAAAACAATAATTTCTACATAATGCATTATACTTTTTTTTCAGAAGCATAAAATAAATATACCTTAAGCTGTGTCAAGTTAACAGTTGTAACATCACCCAGCTGGATCTTTGGATTTTTCAACTTCTCCTTTTCTTTAGCTCTTAAGTCCATGAATCGGTTAATTATTACTCTTATTTTTTCACCAGCTGTATTATCCAATAGAATAGAGCCATGTCCGGGAGTGCCATTACACACAACTTCTACATGCCATATGGATCTCTCGCCATAGAACATAAAGAAATGTTCTTCCGGTGAAGCTACACCCTCGTCCAATGCAAAACCAACATTCAAAGCTTTGAAGTCTTTAGTGTGTACAAAATCTTTCATGCCGAGAATTCCACCGATTTCTTCGTCTGGCACAAAGGAAATATGGATCGTTCTTTTAAAGCGTTGTCCAGCAAGTTTCATGCGACGTATTGCTTCCAAGTATTGTATGCCAACACATTTCATATCCTGACTGCCACGAGCATAAATGTTTCCTTCTTCATCCATGTGAGCACTGAATGGCGGATATGTCCATTTGTCCTGAATATTTTATTTTATTAGCAACATATTACACATATATCTGGCATTGAGTTGTTGAGGTTGGTACACATATACTTACTTCAAAGACAGGGACAACATCCATATGACTGTTCAGAAGAATTGATGGAACTGATGGATCCGTACCTATCCATGTGAGAACCACAATTGGTTTATTTGCATGGACTTGATAGATCTTAATAGGCAGGTCCAATGATTTGGCTTGTTTGCGCAAGAAGCTGACACAATCATCTGTAGAAGACAAAAACCCAAATTAGTACAAACATACTGTGCATATCTAATTTAAATAAAACTTTGTGTTCATAAATACATAAAATTATGAATGCATTTAGATAAATAAAAACTTTTGAAATTAATATCAATGAACTATTTAAGCGTATAAAGCTGTTATGGAAATGTACCATCAAGTCATAAATACTGATAAATGATGAGAAGCTATAATGTATTCCTATATATAGAACATATTGTTTCTAATTCCAAATCACACAAGAAATTACTTTATCTTATCATTCATGAAGATTAAGTCTCCAATCTTATCAAATGTCATTTATTATTCGCAAGACATCCATTTAGGTAATGAATATACAATAGCATAATCTGTTTCTGCTTTATGACACTACCATACATCCATTTAAATAAAAAGTTTATAACAGTACAAGCCCTGTCAAATTTATTGTACTGTTAATCTCCTTAAAAATAAAAACGTATAAAATACAATACATGAAAACTTATCCACAAGACAAGAATATCTTTTTACTCCATAACATTACCATACTCCCTACAACGGAATAAATACGCAATACCATATTTTACAACCGCCGTGCTCAGGACCGTAATACAATTTATCTCGCATATAAACCACGAGGGCCCAAAAAGATCAGTGCAAACGACATCCGTGCAACAATTTTCTCATCGCGAGCGTCCGGACACCTACGTGACCCACTGTACCAACGATTTAGGTCACCCACGAGTCGTCCCTGGTTACCAATCTGAGCAACCGAGACCCCAACGAATTTTCAAACTTTTTTCCCCCCGGTGAACCGAAGCCGAAAGTGACTTCGTTAATCGAACGTAAAGGGCACGCCGCGCCGACCAACGGGTAAACCAGGAGAAAAGCGTCGAACGAAAAGCACAAAAACAGAAATCAAATTTCGCAGGCAGGGTGGGGCATGCAATGGCTGGATAGCGTCTTCGACGCTGCGAAACAATTCGTTGGTTGGGCAGAGATCACGGTGGTTCGGTGAGATCACGATTTCCCATTGAACGCGAGAGGATCGAACGCAGACACGTCTGTCGCGGTGATTTACTTAACAAGGAAACAAGGAACGACCCTATTCCGCTACGCGTGCATGGTTTTCACCAAGCGGTTCGTCGACGACGAATAAACCCTGTCACCGGTTAACGGCGTGGCCCCGGTCGAATCGAAAATCGCGTTTTTCTGGACATCCATTGCTCACCGTAGTTGATGTTGGGCTGGACCGACGGTATCCGCAGGTAATCGCGAAAATTCTCTACAGCTGTTGCGTCCAGCTGAGCCTGGGACGGCGGGGACATTGCGTGACGGAAGCCTGGTGATTGCCGCGTCGGACGCCGCTGGCTCGACTGTCACAGCAGACGCCTGTCGCTGATCCCGCCTCCACCAATTGCCTCTGATTATCAACGATCACGTGGCCCCGGGACGATCAATCGAACCGCTGGAACAGGAAGGGCGGGCTTGCTGACCTCTGTTCAAATAAAAACTTGACGTGACGTAACGGATAACGAGGTGCCGGAGAATCTCGCGGAGGTTCAATTAACCTATTTACGCGAGGCGTCCTATATTTGCGGGATTTTCCCTCAAAGATTCTGTAGACGCCGTTTCCCACTGTCCTGGCGAACCGGAATGTACTTACGCGCCGGTAGAGGACGTAATACCTTGTTACCGAAATTTCTAGATGTTCCGAAATTTATTCTTTAGAGATTGAACGTGTAATGAGATACTTATTATGATAGTTATTTTCGTATATAATTTTGAAGTATATAAAGGTATTATTGTAGTACTTACTTTGTGCACGGTGCGACGTATTTGTAGGGTAATCGTGGAAATGGAACACTGCACGTGAACGGGTTAATGCGCGCCGAACTGACTGCGATTTAATTCTCGATGGCCCCGTGTGGAGGCTCCGTGCGGAGGCTCCCTGTGGCGAGGTTTGAATTAAAGTATCTGCTGAAGAATCTGAGGAGTTGCATGCACGAGATACGACTAGATTGCTATATTTGTCGCGTGAAATAATTCTTACGTGTGTTTACGTTTACTGATAAGAGGAAATTTGCTCGAAAACGATCCCGATCAGCGCGGAACACGCAGAAAATATTCTTGTAATTGGTCTCGCGTGAATTACCGTTGAATTACGCCATGATTGCGTAACGGTCCACGGATAATAAATTCAGGGCATCCGTGCTGCGAGAGGATCGAGGAAAATAAGACGATTTAATTGAACGACTACGCGGTGATGTAATTGACAAAGAGGAAGAACAGAAAATGTTAAAAGCGTTTAATCAACGAATTCGATGGTGAATATAAAAAGTAAGAAAAAAAATAAAGACAGAGCAACCTTACGGGGTACAGGCAACACAGATGAGAATAAATAGGTACCAGTAAGAGAGCGCATTGGAACTTAATTCGTAAAATGTATTCCGATTTATTAAATTTTCATGTATGCCTAAATATGAGCTCTTTACACGTTACGCGATAATATATATACATATAGTATAATACACATACCGTATAGCAACGAATACACACATTATAGTATATATGTATATATTATCATATAGGAGTTTGATATCGAAGAACTTGTTCACATACATTAATCGGTAGTACGAATTAAATTATCATACAATATGTAGGATAATGCAACGTGGCTATAACTAGGCACATACATGTAACAGTGAATTGCAAATAAAAAAAATTATGTGTTCTTTCCGATACTATTATAAAGACGAGTCTTCCTCTTATATATATATATAATTATATAGCTAAATATAATTATATATATTTATATATATACATACAATAATAATAATAATAATAATAATTAATAATAATAATAATTAATAATAATAATTAATAATAATAATAATAATAATAATAATAATAATCACTATGATCTGTTTTATTTACAACATTGAAACTATTATACTAACGAGTTACTTTTTCATCGTTTTATATCACTAAATGTAGTACTTAGATTTTCATTTCATTTCATTTTTTTCATTTTAATAATAATATAACAGAACGCTTTTGTCGCTTATTATCAGAATGTCATTATACAGATACGGTAGAATTGTACAACGAATAATTAATTGCAAGCTGAATGCACGTGTGTTTCTGTAAATGTAATACGTGTGTTGTGATGTAATGTATTATGTTCCTCTATGTGTGTCGTGTGTCCTTTGTATGGTATAGCCGCAAAAAGCAATCGTATTACCGCCTCTTTCGTTTTTTTTGTTATCCACATCCAAACATTTTTCTCAGTCACCCGAAGGATCCCGTAGAATGTCCCACTGTGTCTCAAGCGAGTGTCCATACTTAAATTTATCTTACAAAAATATTTACAATGTTTCACAGTCGTGCTGTTTGACAAGGGGGGACGAAAAAAAAGCCTGTACAACCTCGTCGAAACGTCCCCGCTGTTCAAACAGGCTGCTCGGAGAGTAACTTACACTAGTATACACGGTTTATTACAAAATATCGGCTAAAGTATCAGCTGGCGCGAACAAAACCAGCCCTGGACGCAAAATATTGCCCAAACGTTGCATTTTCCAACGAATACGTCGACGTAAATGGCGCCATCGCGAAGCAACAATCTCTGAAAAAACTAAAATGTATGCGTGGAAACGTAAAAACTTCGACGAAACTGCGAATCGTTCAACCTAAAATCTTCCAAATTTAAAATCACCGCTTCCCTTCTTTGGCAAACCAAACGAATGATTCAAGTGTACAATATCCACCAACTAAAAACTATCGAATTTCTCTGTTGCGCTTGGGTACGGTTTTATGCGC